TTTTAAATACGGAGGGAGTATAATTTTTTCTTTATTTTACTAAAAAAATACTCCATCCGTCGCAAAAACAACTTGCTCACTAAAACTGTCCAGTGAACATTTCCAGTTCATTGTGAGTCAACTCCTTATTTTCTGATCATCAAAGTGCTCTATTTTTATAGATCTAAATCCTTCACACTTATGTGTTAAGACTAGTTTTAAAGCTTATCAATGTGTTAGAGTATAGTTCATTGCTATATTTTAACTAATTGAAGCAGAACCTTAATTTCAGCAGCCTGCTCTCAAAGGTTTTGGCAGCCAGCTCCTTCAGGTTTCGGCAGCCTGCTCCTTAAGTCATATGTTTCTGGCAAACACATTTGTACCACGTTTCATCTATCTCCTCACAACTAAAAGGGTCATAACCTTTGTTTCTATAAAGTGTCACACCCTTGAGGTCAAGACTTCCGTTGCATGTTTCAATATCTCCCAAAAGATATTGGAACTCATTTTGTTAAGAAGATAACACAATTTTCTGCCGATACCGCTTCTCGGTTGAACTCTCGACGTCCGGCCACCTGATACCGCTTCTTTTGCTGTACTGGCTTGACATCAGGCCAAACAGCCAAACGGTGACATGATTTTTGGATCGATGCCTGACATGTCTTCTGGCCCTCGGGCAAAAGGAACCTGATACTTCTTTAACACATAAATTACCCCTTCTTTTAACTCTGGATCTAGATCTGTCCCGATCGCAATCTTCCGGTTGTGATATGCTCTAGCAGTGTGGCTGGCTCAGGTCGCGCCACAAACTCTACTCGTCGTGATTCCACTTCAATGTTGTTTACCCGTATACCACAGGCATTGATTTTCTTCATTGCTTCCCGATAGCAGGTTATGGTTGTTGTAGGGTCCGTTTGGGCCACTCCCACTTTAGTATCTGTAGGAAACTTTATGCACGAATGCCGAACAGAGGCTATCGCCTCTAGATCCTCCAAACCAAGCCAACCTAGTATGGCATTGTGGGCACATTTGATGTCCACCACCACAAAACAAAACAAAAAACTTTACTTGCTAAATCGCTCAATTGAGTGTTTTTTAAAAATTTGAGGGCTTATTTGGGTGTTTTCAGAGTGTGGGGTTACTATGCTTTTTTGACATAATATAGAGGCCTATTTGACAATTTTCTCTTTGTATTATCAAAACTTATCTTTCATGGGGCAGGAGCTAGTAGCCTAGCAGTCGATCTTTCTTGCACTTGAGTCAAGCAAAATAAAATGTATGGAGTATATGTTAATTAAGAGAAGAGAATTCGTGAAGGACGAGTAAGATATTCTCCTCGAAACCAACCATATAATCAAGGTGAAACATCGTAAAGTCACGTCCCACAATCACCACTCAAGATGGGTGTTTAATCGACTTTCTAGATCACAAGACCCATCCCATTGTCAGTACTGAGTCATCAGTACGAACACATATACTATCTATTCGATCTGCTTACCACCTGGTGCGCCTACTTCGCCGTTGTAGCTGCTGTGATGGCCGGCCAGGGTTGATCAAGGCTGCCGGTGGCGGTTTCTCAACCTCCGAACTACGCTTTCGGCCGCCGTTCTCAGCCGCTACTCGTCGCGCTTCGTCAATCTCCTTGGTTGGCTTATCTAACTCCGGGATTCTCTCGGAAGCCATGTCCAGATCTCGAGTGTACGCAGACATCAATGTGGTTCGCCCCAGGGAGTATTGGGATTACGAATCGCTCACTGTTCAGTGGGGTGACCAGGATGACTATGAAGTTGTACGGAAAGTTGGAAGAGGAAAATACAGTGAAGTTTTTGAGGGTGTAAATGTCAACAGCAACGAGAAGTGCATAATTAAGATTCTGAAGCCTGTTAAAAAGAAAAAGATTAAGAGAGAGATCAAAATATTGCAGAACCTCTGTGGAGGAACAAATATTGTCAAACTCCTTGACATTGTCAGAGATCAGCATTCAAAAACTCCAAGTTTGATATTTGAGTATGTAAACAGTACAGATTTCAAGGTTTTATACCCGACATTAACAGATTATGACATACGCTACTACATATATGAGCTTCTCAAGGCTCTGGACTTTTGTCATTCACAAGGAATAATGCATAGAGATGTCAAACCTCATAATGTTATGATTGACCATGAATTGAGAAAGCTTCGATTGATTGACTGGGGCCTTGCTGAATTTTACCACCCAGGCAAGGAATATAATGTTCGGGTGGCTTCGAGATATTTTAAGGGTCCTGAACTTCTTGTTGACTTGCAAGACTATGACTATTCTTTGGATATGTGGAGCCTTGGGTGCATGTTTGCTGGAATGATTTTTCGCAAGGAACCTTTCTTTTATGGGCATGATAATCAAGATCAGCTTGTCAAAATTGCCAAGGTTCTTGGAACGGATGAATTGAATGCATATCTGCACAAGTATGGATTAGAGCTTGATCCTCAACTTGAAGCTATGGTTGGGAGGCACAGCAGAAAGCCGTGGTCAAAATTTATCAATTCTGATAATCAGCATTTAGTATCTCCTGAGGCCATAGATTTTCTTGACAAGTTGCTTCGGTATGATCATCAGGATAGGCTTACAGCCAGAGAGGCAATGGCCCACCCGTATTTCTTGCAAGTGAGAGCAGCTGAGAATAGCAGGATGAGAGTGCAGTAATGTCAGTCTTTGGGATGTTCGGATGAGAAGGATCTTGTAGTCAAAACATAAATTTGCAGTTCGTTGTGATTTTAAAGTTAAATGTACCATTGGAGATGTAAATCTTTTTTACATTATGTAGGAAGAATGTGTTCACTCCATAAATTTGACTTGTGGATCATCTAGTTATTTTTTACTTGCAATTGCTGTGTAGACAGTGTATGGGTTGTGAAAATCTGGAGTGAACTTGAACAAAACTGAAAACAGTTGGATAAAGAACAGCCTGGGTGCATGTTTTTCCAGTTCCAGACCAGAGTTGGTATTCAGACCGGTTCAAAAAAAAAAAAAAAAAAAAAAAAAAAAAAAAAAAAAAAATCACCACTCAAGATGGCGAGGGTCGAAGCCCCTTAGACAGGCCGCAATGGGAGAGGTGAAAATCTTAAATTTGAGGTTTTCACCTCAAATCAGCTACAACCCAAACAAAAAATAGTATATGAAGGTGTAAAGTGGGTTGTGGGTCTTTTTGACTGTCCGTCTGTCATATCCATGTTCAACCCCTCTCAAGCAACTACCCATTCTCTTTCTCAACCCCTACACCCGCCCCTTCTCCCAACCCTGTAAAATAAATAGATGGGCATTGGATTTGGTCGGATGTCCACAACTCGATATCAAATCTGTGATAAACTCACCATCACTGGATCCATAAAACTTGTAGCCATGTGTGAGAAGAAAGGAGAAGTGAGGAGTTGCAACGATGGTGTGGCAGCAGCGGTGCGGAACTGCAGCGAAAGTGACATATCAGAGAAAGTGACATCTGAGGAGTACAATGATGACAGAGGAATGCACAACAAAGCAACGACGGTGCAACTGATGCGCAACAAAGGAGGCGACTGGTGTGTGGACGTGGTAGAAAGGCACCGACAAAGGCAACAAGGGGTGTGAGGAAGCAAGGTACTGACTGAGGCGACGAGAATACGGGATAGTTGGTAGAACGACAGTAGCGGCAACAACACTCTAGGTTGTCTGGTTGGAAGTGTGTAAACGCCTAGTGATGGACTCGGGCCGGGCCGCCCGGCCCGGGACCGGCCCGACCCGCTACTGTGCGGGTCCGGGTCCGGTTCGGGCCGGAGGCCCGGGGGTGGGGCGGTTCCGGGCTCGGTTCATGGGTTTGACGGCCCGGCCCGGCCGGTTCGGGCCCGGGTCCGGGCCAAATCTATTTTTTTTTTTAATTTTTTTCATTTTTTTTGGGCTGTTGGGGTTGGGCTATCTGTTTAGGCCGGTTTGGGGGGGTTTGGGGGGGTGGGGGGTGGGGGGGGGGGGGGAGAAAGGAAAAAAAACCGGGTGGCCCGAACCGGCCCGGCCCGGTCCGGCCCGGCCCGGTCCGGCCCGGAACCGGACCCGGGACCGCCCTACCCCGGTTCGGGCTCGGGCCTGCTATTACTGAACCGAGGCCCGGCCGGGCCCAGGCCCGAGGCCCGAACCGGCCCGGTTCAGTCCACCACTATAAACGCCTAAACGGAGCTGAAGCACGGCAATTGAGGTGCAACTGAGGGCCAAACCGGGCTTTTTGGTTGTGGGTAAAGGCCCGGAACCGGCCCGGGATTCCACCGGGGCCGGGCTAAGCCGGGCTTGGGTCGGGTTATATTTTTTTTTAGCTTTTCTAATTAATTCCACCCCCCCCCCCCCCCCCCCCCCCCAAAAAAAAGACCCAGCCCAACTCGCCTACCACCAAAAAAATTTGAAGAAAAAAAGGGCCCGAATCGGGACCGGCCCGGCTGGTTCCAAAGGATGTGCAGCCCGTACCCGCACCCATAACCCCCCAGGTCGGGCCTAGGCCGAGTACCAGTCCACCGGGCCGGGGCCGCATAGTAGCGGGCCATGCCGGTCAGACCGGCCCCGGGCCAACCCAAGGTGCAATTGTGCGAAACAAAGATGTAGCGAAAGAATAGACAAAGTTATTTCAGACCATTCATTGTTAATTAATCACTTTGTCCTATTTCGCATTAGATCATATATTTGTCCAATTAAAACTCATAGATGTTGTTACTGTCATTATTTCTTCAATTTATATTCTTACAAAGTAATTATATTATTTTTCATCTCTATAACATAGACTATTTTCTTATTAGTTCATCAATAACACCAAGCAAGAACACTCGATTTTAAAAAAATGCCTACATAAAGGTAAAAATTATTAAAATTATCCTTTAGATTTTTTTATGCGAATATGAGAGTTAAAATAATGTAAAATTAGTCAATCACATTTTGAAAATCATTGTTAAACAAATGTTATTAACTTGTTATGATCAGGAAGGGACTAAAAGGAAAAGGCAACATTAATTAAAATAATTTTACAGGGGAAAAAACAAAACACAACATATTTGGAGGAACCAAAAACATATTTAAGCCTAGTAAATATGACAAATGACAGGCACAACACAGACACATACAAATTATCAATAGTAACAATTAATATAGGAAGTTTTTTAAAAATAACTGTTTTTTAGCACGCGTTTTACATCAAAGCTCCTAATTGTATCCACTCCAAAACAACCAAGAAATTCTATTCAAACTAATCAGCCAGTCCAATATGCTATTTCCCAATAGCTAATTACTGATTTCCAATCACTACTTTTAGTCTTCAAGAGAGCCCCAAACAACTGAACAAGGTTACAATGTGAGATGGTGAAAAACAATTCTAGGGAGAATAAAAAATATACAGAACCAAAAACGACAAGGAATAATTTACATGGCATGCATCACCATGGAAGGACATCCTGTTCATGTCGCTAACCTTGCATCAACTACTCCACTGGCATTGCCTTCACCAGTTAGAGCCTGACCTGGATCCTGGAGAGAACATACTTGATCATTTTGTAAAGCTCAATTATGAATTTCACACAAAAAATATGCTGCATGTCTACCTCGATTCCCCACTTGATGTAATCTGGGGACTCACAAGCCTTGTACTCATCGACAAGACTCTCAATTACGTCTCTAGAGTCGTCAAATTCTGACAGGTCATTGTCCTGCAAATGTTTCCTCGTTAATATAAGTTGTCAAATGTCCAAACAGATACCAATTCGAAATTGTAACTTCGATATTGCAATTTCGATAACCTCTCAATGCATGTTCAAGACATAATCATAAAGGGAAAGAACACTAAAGTTCTAAAACTATTTCTTGGATTAGGGGAGTATGGTGTGCTGTGGTTTGTGGGGTCAGACGAAAATGTGAGGTGTGGAGTGACGAAACATCAACATCTGCAGTCACGAAACCTAGCAAACATCAGAGCAGCTAGTGGGGTCAATCATGAGCCAGCCATCCTAGGTTTAGTCGAAACATTTACCAATATGTAAAATATTTTACTTTTGAAAAAATGAAATGTATATGAATGATTTATTTTCCAGGCTCACCCTGAATTTGAATTATGAGGAGCCCTAGCACCGACAATCCTAACAAAGAGCACTACAGTCCATGGCATTATACTTATGTAAGTAGATGGATTTACATGTTTTGAGCCATTTGCGTTTTAACTCGACCTTTTGCAGAAAGAAAAATCCAGCTTTGCATCTTCCTTTTTCATTTACTAATTGGCTAAGCATAAATACACATCAATTTTTATCAAGGAAAAGAAGTTGTAATGCAACTTACAGTAAACATCGCAAGATTCTTATAGCTGTCAAGAAAGGCTCCTCTCTTCCTCAACTTCTCATATTGGCTCAAGCACTTTGAAAATAAGTGACGGATGCCTGTATGGCTTGCAAGCATAAGACCGCTGACCTAAGAGGAATATATAATATTATACTTCTTCTGCACTGATTCCAATCCTCACAGGTGCTAATAATTATAAGGAAAATGTGCTCAAACAGTTATTTGGGGATGCACAGCATATATCTTAGTCTTCCAAGACAAGTCAAAGAATCAATCAAGAGGGGATCAGAAAATATCAGATATGTTTAAATGGAAGATTCTATTAATAAATTATCAATAGCGTGATATCAAAAATAATTAATTGCTAATTACCATCTTTTACCCAGTTTACATTCTTGTATTAGACTATGAATCAAGTTAGTTTTGACTTTTGGGGTAAAATAGTCAGATTTGCTAAGGGGGCAAGTGTTATACTTGTTGGAGAGTTCAGTTTGGGGCACTAGGAGAGTTCTCAATTGTTGGAGAGTTTGATTTGGGGCACTAGGAGAGTTCTCGAGAGAGTCAAGACATTTTTGTATTTCTTTCATGTTTATAGTCTACTAGTACATTTTCTTTTACCTATTGTCGTGCATGTTTACTATCACAAACCACGAGGTTAATTCCTGATTTAGTAAGCATTTAATATTTGAACAAGGAAATTTTACCCTGTGAGCAGTTTGGACATAGGGTGACTTTCTAGATAGAGCAACCTACAAGAGAGAGAGAGCATTAAGCTCTTCGTTAAGTTGAAGTTGTGGAATAAAACAATCAAATGAACTTTACATGTTAATATAGTATATACTAGTAAGGATTATTACCTGAATGCTAGCAGGGCCCCACTCAATAAAATTGACAAGCTTCCTTTCACGTATTCTCTGCAGGCTTTCATGAACCTAATGTTCGACAATCCAGAAATTTAACAATAAGTGTGGCAGTGTGCTATGTAAGTTGAAAAGATAGTTTACTTCAACATAAGGACTATAGACATATAGTATGATAGATTGTTGTTATAATCGTGAGTAAAGTGTTAAAAAAAGTGGATGGAAAATAATTAATTCTGATCGGATACAACAAAACATTACAAACCCCCATCCCTTCAAGATTTGTAACCTCTAAGTCTCTAACTAACACGCCGTTTAATTAAATGAAAAGGGTGGTTGAAATTTATGGAAGAGATAAACAATATGAATTGAACTACATCCATTCCTTAAAGCGGTAGTGAAAAAAATTTGGGACACCCAAATCAGAAAAGTGGAAAGCTTTTATGGACATATGAAATAGATTTCACATGGTAGTATGAAAATGACTGAAACGAAAAAATTAAGCTGTTGAGAAGTAATCATTAGCTACAAATTTCCAACTCAAAAAGAGTTATAAAAAAGCAGGATGTTCCCAAACATGACTAAACTTACAAAATCTGATGAAATTTTAGGTTCTGAAACAAGCTCCGAACCACACTGAAATATTTGATGAAAATGTATATGCAGTAGAAAACCACAACCTCAGAATAAATCTTCTCTAATAGAAATTAAAAGAGATGCTTAATTTGGTACTAGTAATTAAAATAAGAAAAACGACTAACAGAAATTATACTATGTAACTTTGCTTCCTAAAAGGCCATAGCCAATATGGAATGTGAACCTCAATTAGTTCTCAGTTATGGGTTTATAAGGGCCTGAACTTATAATCTAATGGTCAATGGGAAACACTTGGAGTCTTTGATCTGCACCATACACCAACCTTTCATAGATTAATACGGACTAATACCATAATGAGTAAAATCTTGAAAGATCTCCAATGATACCACTATAAGTATAAATATGATGGCTTATAATTCATAGCATGTATAGAAGTATTACTGGGTACAGAAGTCAAATACCTAATAAGCATTGCATCAAGATTCAAGAATACCTGTGTAGGATCTACTTCTCCTTGAATAATGTTTAATATTGATATATACTTTGCCTGACTTGCTGCTTTTGTCCGAGCATCAGAGGAAACCATTATATTCTTAGTCTGCAAAGAAGAAAGCTTTGAGTATATTAGGTGTTCATTATTTTCAGAACAATTCATGAGAGTCATATCTCACCTGAAGAAGTCTTCTCATCACATCCAGGACTGTTGTCTTGCGTATTACATTGGCCTGTGAGAAGGACTATCTGGATCACAATACCATTTTTTTCTTTTGCCAAAAACAAAATGCATCACTGACATAAGTTCTTACCATCATGTTATGTAATATTTTTGGGAGAATTTGACTTTGCACCCCATGTTTTGATGATATTGGACTTTGCACCGCATTTTCAAAATCATCAATGTGTGCACCCCATCAACCCAAAAATTGTGAAGGAGTTGGGTGCAAAGTCAAATATCACGTTATCACCCATAAAATGGGATGCAAAGTCAAATTCTCCCTATATTCTTCCCACATTCCATCCAGTTGCAGCAATCAGACATAGATAAAGATATGTGAATTAACACTTAATAGATGGACATGGTCAATGTTCATAAACGTGAGTTGGATTCCACAAAGTGAAAGTGCAGTCTCAATTGGCTGGTTACTTATATGATGTCCTTAGTGCACCAAACATTCAGCTTTAAGTTGACATAACCATTTCAAGTTATTATCATTTGAAAAACATCACGTATAAGTAATAAGTTGACATTGCATTGATGTCACCCTCCACTTCTTGAAATTTTCATTCCTATAATGACACTCATTAACCAATAATGCCAATACAAGTGGGAAAAACACATCATCAGTGACACTAACATAAAACATTGCTTTGGCATCAAAGTTTGGAAGGAAACACACATCTTTTTAATTTAAAGGGGAAACTTTCAATTTGATCCTCATACTATCACGAAAAAGTCAATTAAGTCCTCTTACTTTTAAAAAAATCAATCAAATCCTCGAACTCTGTAAAAAGGTTTAATTGAGTCCATTAGCAGGTTACCTGCCATGTAGCATGTCACCTGTTGACGTGGCATGCATGTGGCAGCCTAGTCAGCAGTGACTCTGCTGACGTGGTGCACACGCGGAAGTCTAGTCATCCCTTTGCCGATGACAAGGCGCACACGTGAACCGCCATGTGTGTGCCACGTCAGCGGGTAACCTACTAATTGACTCAATTGAACGTTTTTCAAAGTTCAGGGGTTTGATTGATTTTTTTAATGTATGAGGACCTAATGGACTTTTTCGCGAAAGTACGAGGACGAAATTGACAGTTCTCCCTAATTTAAGTGATTATACATGTGTGAATCTTTAACCCATCTGCACACCGTTCAGATAAACTCAATGGTCAAATACATAAAATGTCCTTTCAGTGTTCATATACAGATACACAATTCACAGACCAACTAGCATTCTGGAAAGAGCAGTTTGACGCACAAATATAAACCGGAAAAAACAAAGACAAAAACAAGCCCCTAATTTCAGGACCAGATATTTGACCTTTTAGGAGATTCTGCAACTCATGAAGGACGTTGAATCATGGATTGTGATGATGATCACAACAAAAATAGATTAAATAACCCACTTTGACTCTATATTGTTATATTCAACTTAATCTATCAAGCATGCACAAATAGAACGATTAAGAATAGAAATCTCACTTGACGCTCCACAGTGAGTGGTGTATATCCCGTCATCAGAAAATGGCACCTTGGTGTTGGTATAAGAGAAGCGAGGAGGCCAACCAAGTCATTATTCATATATCCTGGATACCGCAATGTTGTTGTGCTTGCT